TACAAATGGCGTTGAAACGCATTATGACACACGATTCGTGTACCAATGTTAAAATGTTTATTTTGTCTTAAATATTGGATATCAGAAATCCCATATTTCCCGGTAAGTTCACAACATCGATGTTGATTTAAAATGACAAATAATTCGTGTTTTCAATGTCGAAGACTTTGGATGATATTGCGTTAGAGACTTAGCTACCTTAAAACACGGATCTATAATTCGTTTCGTTTTTTTTTTATACGTTCGATGGCCTCTACTACATGAAGATCTGACCGGTTGTAGTTGAAGGTCGGGTCAGAGGTTATACGAGCGGCTTTTGACCCTATGACGTCAGATATTTGATTAACCAATCAGCGTTGATGTTTCTAGTGGGTTACCCAAAGTTCCGTGTGCCTCACGCCAAAAATTCGCCGTAACAGGCCGTTTCATGGGCTAATCCCTCACATCACCCAGAACGCGGTTTATATAAGCACTCTTCCAGATCCTAGAGTAGTAAATAACTATAAAAAACGAAATAGGATCTGTGTTTTAATCAGATTGGTAAAAATTGTTGACTTCTAGCGGATCCACAAGCTAAAAATACAATTTTTCGAACAATCAGAGGCCTTAATTCAGGAAGTTATGCGCGAATATCGACATGAACCAAGATCTTTGAATTATAAACACGTATTTCAGGTTTCATCAAAATCGAATTAAAATTGTGACCTCTAGAGGGTCCAGAGAGAAATGTGGTTTAACGTCCACTCGACACAAACTAGGTCATTTCGGGACTAACATATGGTTTAATTTTATTTCAATAATTCGCTTGCGCGTAGGTGTCTTTAGCAGTGGGAGGAAACCGGAGGACCCGGAGAAAACCCACGAGGTTGGACAGGCGACCCTACTCCTTGCCACGTACAACCGGGGATTCGAAACCACGCCAGTTGACTCAATGACAGGCCGCATGATACAGCACGCACGTTCTAACCATTCGGCCATCCAACCCCCCTCTAGAGGGTCCACAACCTTGATATTTTTACACTATATGCATACGAGGGGTCGAGTGGCGGCCATTTGGTCCGACAGTTTGTTCCGATGTTCACAAAATTCGAACTCACTCATCATTACGGTGTAACAGTGATATATTCGAACGGCTTTTTGAATCGGATAATAATTGTGACCTCTGGAGGGACCACAAGCTAAAAACACGATTTTTCGTACAATCAGGGACCATAATGCTGGAAGTTAAAATCCGTTATGCGCGGATATGGAAGGAAACCAGATCTTTCGGTTATTGTCATGTATTACAAGTTTCATCAAAATAGGGTAAAAATTGTGACCTCTAGAGGGTCCACAAATTTGATATACCCATATTGTTTTACACTATTTGCATACTAGGGGCGGCCATCTTGTCCGCCAGTTTATGTCCGATTTTCAGGAAATTCGAACTCAATTATCATAACGGTGTTATGATATATTCGAATAGAACGAAGATCTTTGGGTTATTAACATGTATTCAAGTTCCATCAAAATCGGATCAAAATTTTAACCTCTAGAGGGTTCACAAACTTGATATACCATATATTTATTTTTACACTATTTACGTACGAGGGGCGGCCATTTGGTCCAGCAGTTTTGGTCCGATTATCACGAAATTCGAACTCAATCATCATTACGGTGTAGCGGTGATATATTCGAACGGCTTTTTAAATCGGATAATAATTGTGACCTCTGGAGGGACCACAAGCTAAAAACACAATTTTTCGTACAATCAGGGACCATAATGCTGGAAGTTACAATCCGTTATGCGCGGATATGGAAAGAAACCAAGATCTTTGGGTTGTAAACGTGAATTTCAAGTTCCATGAAAATAGATGAACATTGTGACCTCTATATATAGTGTATCCACAAGCTAAAAACGTGATTTTTCGAATAATCAGGGGTCATAATCAATGAAGTTGTGGTCCGATACATGCCAATATCGAAAGGAACCGAATTCTATATGTGGACGGACGGGGGTGACGGCTTAATACGTCCAGATGAATATGTGGGCGTATAAAAAATACCCGTACGCATCAAATTTGAAACAGCAATCACAAAATATGAAAAATATTTTTTTGGTTGGGGGGGTGGGGGTGGGGCGAAGAGTGGTGCAAAGAAAGCTTGGACTGACTAAAATTCTGGTGTAAAATGCACCCTTGTCCTTTCACTAGTATCTATCAAACACATAATTGTTTTGAATTAGGATCGGTTATCGATCTGTCTTCCCGCATTTTAAAACAAATGTCCAGCAAGTTTTAACATGCACGGGATTGGTAAATAGGAACGAAATACATTTAGAAATTTGGACACTATCCCTTTCAAAATTCACGATATTTTTATTATGAATTCTTCATTCTTAAATCTATTACTTTTATTCTTCTTTTGTCTTCTCTGGTATCAATTAAATTGTCATGGATTAATCATCAGCCATTCCAGGAATCTACGCAAACCAATTATTCAGTTACATTGAAAAACATCCTTTCTAAGATATTCTGGTCACCCTGTAACATTTCAAGGCCCACAAAAACAATTTCTGAACCCAAACCAATTCCATCACTGCAAATACGATACTCTTTTGTGGTGGAGAAGTGATAATATCTGAAACGGAGAGGTGGTGAGATGTGGGGAGCCAAACTGAGTGACTAAACTTGTGGAGTAGTTCTTTAACTAATTCCAGAAATCACACTTAAAACAGATTACAACTATCAATTTTTACATTAGTGGTATCAAATTCTGGTATATATCCAACGTGTCTTATGCAATATTTGTTTTTAATTTAAAATTAGGAAATAAATATACACATAATATATTCTACTAAAGAAGAAACAACTGCAAATAGTCTAAGGTTTTTTTTTCTATATTGTCTTATTAACACAATCCAATTTATGTCTACCATAAATATGGTGTGGTTTAAATAAAAATACATTATTACAATACATTGTCATATTTATTCTATATTTCTAAGACGAGAATTAAGTTTATTGTATATATTAATACTTTGAGCGCTATCAATAAAGCTACGACGATTTCAATAGAATTACCATGGCGATATCATGCATGATTTATGACTAGAGCGATCATCTTTTATTCTGCTATAGAAACACAGAAAACAAAAAGAAGATTTGGTTGGTAACATCATCGATTTTTGTGTATGGATTTTATTATCGATTCTCGGTTTTTACATACTAAACCATCAGCAGTGTCTTTAAACACTCTAACTATAATTATAGGTAACACGCAATCAGGTGCCATTATAAGGTAACGTTTAATATGGTGTTATTGGGAATAATGCAGGTGTTAGTTACTGATAGTCGATGATATTAAAGCATTAAGATGTATATATTAACTTTATCCATTAAATCGTGGATTTAAAGGTTGTGAATAAATGGTTAATTTACCTTATCTGAAATTTTCATTTCAAAATATTGAGCAGTTTGGAAATGAAGTATTGAGGTTAAATATCTCATTTCAGAACGCTCATCTCAAGTTGTTGATTTAGTGCCCCGATAAACACAGCGATTCGATATCGTTTGCCAGAAGTAATTAAAAAAACAGCAGTAACTTGCGAATTTTATAGTTGGTTGACAACAAGAATAAACCATAAGCTATGAGAAGTGGTGATTATGCACGCGTTTGAGTTATCTATGGGTTTATCCAGGCACCAAGTGATTACAGGCCAAGAAGTCCCCCGTCCCTCCCCAACCCCATGGGTCAATGTGACGTAAATATTTCTTTAAAAACGTATCATTGAGGTTCCGGATGTTCCTAGGACTAGGGGAAAGGGTTCTACGAGTCTTCGACATAAATTAACCAGTTATGTTGACTGAAATTATGTGCCATTTCATCTTTAAATAGTGTATTTTAGATATCAATAAAACATCCTATATATTTGATCGTACGAGATCTAAATATAATCGGGGTTTAATACAATAATTCTCATCGCTTGGCAAATATCGATTCTAAAGGCGGCATTATGGTAGAGGATATGCAATTGCTGATGCAATTTTAAAGGGCTTAAATTGTTAGTTACATCAAATATTCTCAGCAGATCGCTTTTTAATTTTTTTCTGATCGTTCAGGCGTACAGAAAGCATTTTAGTGGACCAACACTTGTGTGAGTGTGCTTTACCTTATAAACTAATTGTTCCCTTAGGAAGAGGGTCTAGGCAGGCCTACACGGTGATCAGTGCACTCAGCTCAATTTCTGTTCTCTTGTCTGTTTATGATATGAGTTTGACAAAATACACTTTTATTGAAAATAATGCAGTTTCCAACGACTAGTTAATTAAAGGAGGCAGGGTCTACAATTTATAAGTGGACCAGAGGGTTACCGTCCTGGGCGCAATCCGAGCAATCCGAGATTTTTTTTTGCCGGGGAGGGGGGCGGGGCGTATTTTGCCATTTATGTATGACGTGTGGATTATCGCTCAAGATGTGCAGCATTACTCCATTTTGTCAAACTGATCCATTAGATTACTGATTTTTATTATCGTATACTGACAATCTATGCTTTTAAATTCAACCTCACCAGCCATGTTGCCGGATACCCAACCAAATAGCGAGATTAATATTTTATGGCTAGTAATCAGTAGTACCCGTGGCTGAACAAAATCTCGAAAACTATTGATAGTTATAGCACTATGATCATATACAACCCTCTTGTTGAGAGAGAATATTATATACTTTCCTATTTAAAGACCAAAATAAACGTTACTGTTGACCTTTCACGTGCATCGGGAGCTATAACATAACCACTTTTGTATCTTGAACTGTGTGAAAATCTGTTGAGGTAGGGTCATCTTTTATTTTAAAAGCTTACATTTGACTGTAAGGGGTACCCTACCAATGTGTTAAATGAAGGTCTATCTTTTTCCATCGCATCTGTATTTTATGTTAATGGTCGAAGTTTCCAGATCGCTAATTTATGTCTCATTCCATGTACATTTCACATTTCTTTATAGGAGGCAAATGCAGAAACGGTTGTTTTATATGACTTTATTTATATATCACTTTGTACACACATATCACAGACAAAATACGTACATGAAGAAAGGGTTGTCTTTGTTTTTAGTAAACGTATGTGTACGAATTTTATAAACTTTGTATTCATGTTATCTTTTAAAGCCGATTATCGTTATGTGAGGGGTTTTGAATCACTTGCAAATGACCATATTGTGAAAGTTGTATCGCTACAATAGTTCGATCTGGTTTAGTACTTGGAAAATTTAGTAAGCTGCGTTATTCTCTGCGGTTGATATAAAATAGCAAGCACCACCTACCTGTGCTTAATACACGCCGAGAGATAACCTACCATTGATATTTTTTGTTTTGTTTTCTAAATTAAATGTGAAATAACCAATCTGAGAACATTTTAGCATGGATTAAGCCGTGAAAGAAATGAAATAGTATTTTAAATTAGCGGCTTTAATCAGTATTTGAATATTTCATAGAAATATACATATTGCATACGTCATATTCTACTGCTTAAACTGTTACGTAGCTAGCATATCACGAGGCTATTTCTACTGTTAAAACTGTCCGGTGACTCTCTATACTGTTTCACTAGACTGTTTTAACCGCGTCGTGTACACATACACTCAGCAGAGTTTTACAAGATGGTAACTCTCAACATAATTTCATTGGGCTGTTAAACAGATTCGACAGACCATAAAGCCATTCGACGTCTCTCAAAACACTTTTACTAGCAATGCAGTGCCTTACCTTTTTGGATTGTGTCAATCTCTAGATTGTGTAACAACCCTTTCTTCACATAATATAAATGTAATAAATATATTATATAGCTATAATAAATATATAGTACATAACCAAACAAAAAAATAAAACAATATGATAAATATTAAACAGTAAGAATATAATAATTTAGCAGTAAATTTATAAACAAATTGTATGGGATTCTAAATATGGACGGGTTTGATATAAATCCATGGGAGGGAACCGAATGTGAACTGAACAACTATTATTATTGTTGTTACAGTTTAACAGCAGAGTATTAAGGCGTTTAGTAACCAATGGCAGCTCCGGGGTGTTTCTGAAAGGGTGGGGTGGCGATATATTCCCAGAAAATTCCATGCAAAGTACAAGAATACAATCAACCACAGAACTGATCGCATTTCAGCATCGACCAGAAAGGGAGAAAGTTAGTTATTCGAAATTGGATATATATTGCTAGCTTCGCCGCATGGTATAACCCACCTCACCACACCCAACCTGTCGTCGCTACTTATCTCTAAAGTAGTAACAGTAACAATAAAGCTATTGCGCTTTTATATAACATAACATATAAAATAACAAAATTAAATAAAATGTAATTCGAGTATTACCACCATTAAAGATAACAAATGTGACCATATAATCAAATATCAATAACACTACATGTAGCATAACTAAATAACCATTAAATCGTATGACGCAGAGTAACAATTAACATTATCCATAGCTAATTACAATAGATTTATGATTAACGCGTGGATACCAGTATGCTAAAACAAGAAAATATTTTAACCACAAGTGTAGTCTTGTACCAATTTCACCACACATCACTATCCCGCTTGACATAGCTGCATGTCCACTGCATGGGATGATCACGTTTGATAAGGACCTTAAAAGTTCAATATAGGTTCAAGATAGTGGGTGCGGCACGAAACATTATCCATAGCCAATTACAATATATTTACAACTGATGTATGGATAGCATTGTGCTAAATTGTACTATTTACATAGTAGAAAAAATATATATTAAAACTAAAATATGCGTTATTTGGGGGAACATTTGTGTAGCCAATAAGTTAACAAATTGATTTAGTACAATATATAAACTCTGTGATTTCAAACAATTGATTCATTTAATTTCATTATCTCCCACTGAAATCAAATTCAAGTTGTAAACAATGTATTCTATAGATAGTAACATAATTTTAGAAAATTGGCAGATCAATCATTTACATTTAAACATACGGCAAATGTGGGAAAAGACATTAAAACATAACACCAAAACAACTATATTTATATAAGTAGGGTTTTTGGACGGAATAAGGGCGTGTATTCTGATACATTTGTCAACATCCCTTTACGAAAAATTTGTCATTGGTGGTAAAGATATCTTCTCCGAGGCCATGTGCTATCAACCTCGGGCTTTTGAGCACATGATATACATCATTATTCACCCAGAATGCACCTGATTGAATAGTCAGGATGTTAAAAGCACAAACATCCCCCGGTCGAAAATCTACCAAGCACATACTGACATATAAGGCAACGATGGTTTTAATTAATAAAATATTAATTCAGATAACAAACAAATCACCAATAAGAGATTTTCTGCAAAGGGATCGTGTACTTGACAACAATAAACACATTTTATTAGTACGACAATTTGCTTCAAAAAAAAAAAAAAAAAAAAATACATTATGTAGAAAATATGTTTTTCGTATATAAGTAAAATAAAAGGAATGTTTTTCTTCTTCCATATGAAAATCTTTAACGACAACTTGTGTATATCAGCAGTATGCAATTAATATTCGGATAATTTCTTTGGAACAGTGAATTGAGAAGTCATTTGCACGTGTACGAATCAAGTCCTTGTCCACTATAAAGATCAACCCAACTAGAGCAATGGCTATTTAACCGCATGCAGAAATATCCAATTCTCGTTTTATTTTGTTTAAATGTTCACTCAGAATGATCGTATTATCAGAAATAATTCATAAGGTTGTAGACTACTATTCTAAAGGTAGTGCAGCTTTTCCCATTTATTCTTCACTTTTATCTAGAATCCCCAACTTTTCTCCAACCCATCTGCACTTGGCGATAATTTCATCCTGCATGAGCGAGAAGCACATGGACAAGATGGCCATACCGAACAATACGTACACAGCTCCGAGAAGAAGCTGGGCTTGGGCTTGAGAATTTTCGAAATCGGTTCCAGGAACAACATCTCCAAATCCAATCGTACTCAGTGTGATGAAGCAAAAGTAAGCCGATTGTAACCAATCCCAACCTTCCCATAATCCAAACAAAACGGCCCCACCAAAAATGTAGCCTCCAATAACGATCATAGTAATAGTTAGGGGGACGGTGATTTTCTTATCATCCAAATCGTCGTCATCATCATCACTGTCATCATCGAGAATCATAGGATCAGGTCGATTCATGGGGTTTAGGTCCAAGGGAACAATTTTAACGGATTTGCCCAGTGGACTCGGTGAACGAGAAGATAGCTTCAACTTGTTGTTGTCATTTGTATCGGTACTTCCTGTTGGTGATTTGCATGGTATTCGTGAGAATTCGTTCTGATCGGTGACTGTGTTGTTTTTTACCATGTTTGATTTATCTGACTTCCAGTTTCCATCCCGTGGCATGGGTTTAATTTCAACAACTTTAGTAGCCTTGTCCTTCTTTTTTCGTCGACAACATCCACAGCAGCAAATCTTGGCGTAAATGAATCTAAAGATGTCAGCCAAGACGTCGCCTATGTTAGCCAGACACAACAGCATGAGCGGAATACCCAAAACAGCGTAAGCAATGCACACCAATCTTCCCCAAACGGTTTTAGGAGCGATGTGTCCATATCCTAGAAAATAAAACATTACAGCACATGAATCAGTTTATTAATACTATGCCGTGTTTATAATCCCAGAGTTGATCACTTTACATCACATGAAATTCCCAGGTTAAAGGGTATTTCCAATTATGTGTCTTTAAATTTTAATTATTTTCAATGCATCAATGCAGTGGAATCTAATTCAAAACTAAGTATGAACTGAATTCCCCCTTTATACAAAAGGGTTTTAAAAGCAATCATTGATAACAGAATGATAGTAGAAAGTATTCCTTTCAATGACTGAAATACAAACTATTAAGTTTTTACCTGTGAAGACGTATCATTTAATACAATTTAAAGGTATCGCGTACGCAATCAACACACATTCAGCAAAAATTTTTCAATTGCGTGGAGAAAATCTTATGAATAGTAGGTAATTTAGGATGTTGACATATTTTATAGCCAATGAACATGAAGGTAGCACGGGCATAGGTTGTCTCGGGGGTATCTTGGTATCAAAGATATGAGCATGAGAAGGTGTCGTGACGACTTCAATAATAGTGAATTTAGGTAATTCATCAAACTAGTCTTCACTACCTAGCATTTTAGTCACGCAAAGTTGTGATTGTGGTTAATCATGGAACAATAAAACTTTTCTTTCCTTATAAATGTCCTTCATAAAGATCCCAGAAATTCATGACGTGACTGCTACGTGAGATCAGTCGTATACACATTTCTGTCTCAGTCCAATTAATTGTCCCCGCTTAGCTCCTACCGTTAAATTAGGGAAATAGTATACTTATTTCTCCAACAAAAGCTACATACATATTTTACATCTATGAGTTTGAAAATGTATTTGAATGACATTTCATTTAAGTTCCAGTACTAGTTTTCTAGAGCAACACTATTATTGGATAAAAAACAGAACAGAAATAAGTATGTGTTTTTTGTGTAGAACAGAAATGAGTTTGACAGCCGAATGTGAAATTGAGGTTAAAATTCACTTTTACTGGCAATAAAAATGTCCTTGAGTTAGTTCAATCTAAGCCAACTTTGCAAACAGAGAGAGAGAGAGAGAAATGGGGTTTAACGTCCACTCGACAAAAACTAGGTCATTTCGGGACTAACATATGGTTTAATTTTATTTCAATAATTCGCTTGCGCGTAGGGGTCTTTAGCAGTGGGAGGAAACCGGAGGACCCTTAGAAAACTCACGAGGCCGGAAAGACGACCTTACACCTTGTCACGTACAACCGGGGATTCAAAACCACGCCAGTTGACTCAATGACAGGCCTTATGATACAGCAGGCACGCGCTAACCATTCGGCCATCCACCCCCCCCCCCCCAACTTTGTAAACAGCATAATGTTTTGGGTGTTCGGACAATACAGACGGTCTATGGCAACAGTAACGTGAGCGTATTTTAAGAGAACCAACATTATAGCCTCAATTAACTCATTTTCACGATATACAGAAAGAATCGCAAAATGAAATTGAAATGGAGTTTAACGTTCAACATCTGAGTGAATAAAGATGGAGTAAATAATCACAATTACAAATCTAAGAAACTAGCTAATTACCTATAGTTGATATAACAGTAACAGAGAACATCAATGATCCAGCCCAAGACCAGGAATAAATTGGCCCACCAGTTCGACCATAGGCACCACAGTCTCTTCCATCATATCCTATAGCCAATGTGTTGTTCCTGAAAGTTTCCAACACACTCTTAACTTGAACTTCCATTAAAGCTCGGTTATTCTCCGTAGGGAAACCATAATCGTTAAATATCTTCAAAATACTCTCGATGGTTTTGTTTTCCATGGGATTGTATTCGCTTCTTGATTCATAGCAAATCTGTTGTTCGTTGTTTTTCTCTAAGTGTTCGAATATAAATCCTCCAGCCACACAATACAATATCACCATACCACATAATCCAATGTGAGAAAATAGAAATTTTGCAAATTTCTTGCAACACCCATCGCGTTTCTTTGTACCCATTGTTCCTTGATCAGTTCGAATTGGTCAGTGCAAAATGAAGTCAGCACATTCTAGAATGTCCTCGAGGTTACGTCTTTTTGTCTCGTTTCTTCTTATGTTTCTAAAAAGATATAAGTGTTAAATAATATTTTAAGTTTTAAAAACAATTTCAAACACTGAAATAAGTTTTGGTGTACATTGAATTTAATATTGAATTCTTTTCAGAGAGAAATACATCGATACATTTTCAGAATTTCTACTTTGAATATTAGGAGCTCTCAGAATTCACCAATATAAAGCAATTAGGTTTACTTTAAAAATATTCTTAAAATAAACTAATGATCTTCTTAATACCCCTGTACAATTTGTTCGGTATTGCCACAACTATATAACTTTTAAAAACAAGCGAAGAATTCATTAAATGACGTCACGTTATTGCAATCAAAAATTAATATCCTCAGCGTACATTGATCTTGCTTCAACGTAAAAAGAATGTCCAGTTCTAAATCAGCTTTCGATATTAACTACTTTAGAAATCTCTTTTAATAAATTCTCGAATTAAACGCAGGAACTAGTATTGAATGAAATATCCTGTATGAAGCACCATTATTGATAGCTACCTGTTCAATTCCTTTGTACCTGTGCCATGACGAAAACCAATGAAGGCAAGCCTTTCGTGTTATTTATTATTGATCGTCTGCTTCCATAAAAAAAACAAAAAAAACAAAGACATCGATTGCTAAAAAGCTTTGTCTTTTGTATCTATGGAATTGGATGTCTTATAAATATTTATACAGAAAGTGTCGTATAACCAATGAGCCTTCCCGTAACAGTTTATTGTCTATATACATATATGCTAGAACTTTCAAACAATACAAGCGCTTTCGATTCTTCAGTTACTATGACACCCATAGTCGCCATTTTGTAAAAGCACCAATCTTAAAGAGTGGTTATTGAAAACATGAACACATTTTTTTTAAATCTTGTTCAAATGAAACCGAACCTTTTGTTCTCAATAAATAATGAATCTTCAAATACCATATATTTGCGAACACAATCGAACTGAATAGCACGATGGCAATGAGATTTACGTCATCCATTCAGATTTTAAACGATTGTTTCCAGACCAAAGCAATATATAGCAAACACCTTAAAATGTTAGCCCTCCCAGCGAAAATTCTAACCAAAGACTCTAATTTGATAATATATATATAAAGCGAGACGAAATATCTCCAGTTTGTAATTATTATTTTATGAGGGGTTTACTGGGTGCGGAATAACAAATCGAGTCTAACCAGTCTTAGGCTATTTACAAAAAAGCATTACATTTATAAAGTGGGCGTTGGTAGGTAGCTGCTTAGACCTAATGGAATTTTTTTTATGTCTCTACTGACCTTTGCTCTCGGGCCGCTACCATCAGCTGCATTTTGTAATAGTCAAACTATTATCATCATATTTGAGTCCTGGTCAAATCCGAAATTTGATTGGTCTTATACCAAACATATTACAGGAGATTGTTATGAAACTGGTATGTAGACTAAATAGCAGTTTCATAATAGTCTTGATAATCAAGTAATGCAGTAAATATAACCTGACTATTACTCCGTTAGCAACATGGCAACGAATAAGGCGACGTTGACTACTTCCATGTCGACATTTAAATTTTGTGAACTAGCATGGGTGTGGGGCTACCGGTGTTTTAACTGTTTCGGGATCTTTGGTTAATTGTTTTTCGTTTATCCGAACGACTAGACCAGCGTTTCTTGTCCGTCAAATAAAGTGGCATCCCTGAAAAATGAGAATCATCTGGGGAAACTGCCAGAAGTTTTTCCCACCCCACGCCGGTGTCGCGGTTTGATTAGGCAACTAGTTTAGTTAGGTTTCTTGTAGGGTTCGAATCTAACTGCATCTTTTAGTATATTATATTTGCTTTCCACTTTGCAAATGATACTATTTTATAAAAATAGATTTTTCAGAATGATTCATTATCTAAAATAATACAACTATTTCATATAAGTATAAATCTATGAGTCAGTGTTATAGTTTTGTTTTTATTAATTTCATAGTTTTTAACTCCATTTTTCTAACATTCATAATAACTCAGTGATCATTATTTGTCAATCTCATCATTCAATACCACACCAAAAACAAGATCAATAGCGTCAATACATTTCATGTATAAATGTTTTTTTATGAGGTTAATTTAAAATTTATAAGTTCAACAGTTTGGTTTCTTATAGCGAACAAACTAACTTTCTCTTTTATATATACTGACATGCAAAGAAAAGGTACCACTGATTTCAATGACAGTGCTGGTGAGACATTGTACAGCTGAAATGTGATTATAGGCGGGACATAGACTGACTCTTGAAAAAACAACTACCTACGGAGGCCATAACAACTTTAGCCTATTTTACAATGAAACGTTGATCAAGGGATGAAAACAACAGTCAGTAACTGAAAGATACATTTAGCAATAACTTCTAGATATTTAGAACTCGGGCAAACTCTCTCTCTCTCTCTCTCTCTCTCTCTCTCTCATGTTTCTATCGCCATTGGCGACAGAGTTGGACAGGATTTGATAAATAATACCAACACACGTTTCCTGTCATGTAATGATTTTTTGCAAGGTGGGTTACTCATTCAGTTATCGATTCCTTTTATAATAATGTTTATCGATAAATAATTCTATAATGACAACATTTTTATATTAAAACATTCATTATTAACAACGTGTACTAAAATCACCATATTGTTTTAATAATAATGGTGGCACGTTCAAGAGAGGGTTATTTAACATGTTGCTGAAGGCCTCTTGTAATATACAAAGGTGGATGTGGTAGCGCACGGGCATTGTAACGGATAAATATAACAATTCAACAAAGTATGGTGAAAATAGCTGTATTTGTCAAGTGCACCATTTTGAGGTCGAATATTATCAGAGAGCAATTCAGCAAATCGTATTCATGTTTAATAGTGAAGGACTTGATGAAACGTACGACATATTTACTTTTAGGAGTACCACGAGTTACCCCGAGTACAGGCTTTACAAATACTTGCTCGACTAGTACCACATATTTATCCATAAGAACATTATTCATAAGGCCAGAAACAATTTACCTGCTACACATAAACTAGGAGCCTTAGTGGATAACCAAATTCAATAATTCATTACGCACAATTAAGCAAAACTTCTAAAATGGGAGAAAGATATAACCAATATCCTAATAGCTAAGTAGTATCAGTATTATAATGTTGCGAAAAAATAAACATACCCACAGAATGTGAAGTGCAAGAAAATATATATCAACAGATAAGATCAGTATTGATAACTCTTATTGAATAACCTCTGTCGCTTAGCAAAAAGGGAAGAAAATAATCCATTGTAACCATATTTAATCGTTGAAGACATCGTAATTATCTTCCTTTTAGGTCGCATGTTTGACCTGGAGATCTAAATTAACCTGTGATCTCTGATATTTTTTTATTGAATAAGCAATTGAGAATTGCCATACCACTATCGATTATAACGATTTCTAAACGTCGAACAAGGTAATATCGTTAATGCACAATTTATCTAGAAATTGCGAGGACAAAAATGTAAAATATCGGAAACAAACCTATTTCGCCAAAAAAATGTACGCGTATGCATTTGGGTATACCTTTTCTTCATAATCAATGAAGTTTTACAATAAAGCAATAGCTATTAAATCATTACATTCGATTAACGTTATTTTTGGGGGTTTTCTTCTACACAAGCTACACAACATTTTATAATTTACACCGAAACAAATCTTATTGGTTGTAGCCATCACACTATCTAGCATTCTAAGGCATTCGAAGTTATGTGTGAAATAACCCCTTTTTAATATATTGCCACTATCAAGTGATATCTGAGACAAGAAAGGAAATTACTTTTTATTATTCATGAATAGCCAATAAAGTACCGAAACTTCCAACATTTTGATAGATATGTCAGAATAAAATTTTTCTGGGACATCTAACGTACGCAATCATAATGTAATCTTAAAGACTATATACGTTAACTGCGCATGTACTACACGTTCTGCAAAGCCGAGACGTCGGAAATAAAGTAAAATGATTAGTCCGGTGGCTGAAGGGGGGGAATCGCCACCCGAGCTGTGAATTTATGAGACCAAGTTTTTCTAGACCAGTTTTTTGCGTAGATTCCGAATCTGGGTGGTGATCAGGCGTTTGAGGGGGCGTTTTCGAGATATGGGGGGTCAAATGTCTACAATGGGGAGGGGGGGGGGGGTGATGTCATTATGTTGACATAATATATTAATAAAACATATATTCCTAGGACTGCCCATCTATAAATGAGTGTTTACGATGCCCCTGGACAACTGTTTTGATTTATGGGGAGGTGGGGTGGGGGTAGCAGCTTGATGAAACATCTCTAAATATGTTTATAAGATTCCTATTGTATGGGGGTGACGCCGGGGTGAGTGCCCGCCGTGGGGGAGGGGGCGGTGCGGGTAATGGCGGTTGGCAACATGTGTTTTGTGGACAAAACTCATTTTGTTCATAATTGAGCTTAAAGTGGTATCTCGTTAGCGTTTTCGTTCAAAATATTAAAGTATAATGGTACTTTTCAAGAGATCTGGAAATGCAAATCAAAAACACATTAACTGAGAGATATGTTTAGTTGTTAGTTTATTCTTATTAGTCTTCATCAGAAGATTCAAAATCAAAAGTTCATATGAGCTAGATAAATATTTTCTTGGTTGCTGGCCAACAGCTCGCATATCCTTTGGATATGCTTCAGGAACCAATTCACATTGTAAATCTTCATTCCAGTCATGCAGCAAAAGACCACGTATACGGCAAGGTGGTAATAAAGAAAGGTCTGTTATTTTTTCACCCAGAAAAACTTTTTTCTAGCGTCATCTAGTGATGTAAGTCGTCTTTCGCGATATTTTCTACCTTTGCCCGTCTCATTATCGATCAAAATTTGTATATTTGGATCATCGTTTGCGAAGAGAATGATTGGGATGTCTATTTCGCCCGAGCAAGAATGCAAAATACAATTTGTTTCAGCACCTCCATTAATTTGCAATGCGAAGAGGAGTAGGTTGTCAGTTCTAGGATATTCTCGAC